ACCCAGCAGCTCAGGTGGCCCAGGGTCCCATCCAGCCTGGCCTTGAACACCTCCAGGGAAGGGGCAACCACAGCTCCTCCATTCAGCCCCGTGCCAGTGCCTCACCACACTCTGAGAGAACTTCCTCTTAAATTTCCTCCTGCAAATTAGCTTTGAAACAGTGAACTTCTGCACTTCAGTAGGTGGGATTCCACCAGCAGTCTGAGATAGTGTTCTTCTACCGAGTCCACTGAGCATCACTGCTCCTGGGTTGCTGAAGCCCTTTTTCAGTGAGGTATTAAAGTTAACACAAGCAGCTGCCGATTGTTTTGCTGGGGTTTTGCATGTGTTTATGTTTGGTTTTTTTTTTGCTGAACAGGAGTCTTAATGCCTTGTGAGGAAAACATTAAGGAAATTGGCTGAAAGGCTTGGAAAAATCATTATTGCATCTGACTGGACTGAAAAATACAAAAAAAAATTGCTTACTCTTCCTTTTTTTCTGGATAATTACCAGATTCCACTACATGATAACTTATACTTGAGCAATAAAATCTAGCACCGACCATTTATTCCCATTGATTAAATACTACACTGTAGCAGCATATGAGGTTTAAAATAGATACATTCATTAGAACTGGGAAGAAACTGTACTTTTAGAGGAAGTATCTGGTATATTGGTTTGGGGGCGGTTGTGGAACAGTGCTTAATATTCCTGCTATCTAACCTGCTCATCGCACAGCAATCCAGCAGCAATTAACCAGTATCCTCTGGCAGGCAGTAGGAGCTGACAAACTTGCTGAGCCGGTCCCTGAGCACCCAGAGGATGACAGCAAGCAGTCACAAGGAGTGCTGGGAAACTGCCTCTGCCTTCCTGGCCTGAGAGCCACAGCTTGCCCAGAAAGCAGTGGGAAGAGCTCTTCCTGTGGGGGATCCTGCTCATGCCAATGAAAAGCCCTAGAGTAAAAAAAACCCAGTGTCTTAGAGGCCCAAAAGAAAGCTGAGACTCTTCTCTGTTATCTTCTATATTATCAGCTTAATTTCTGCTCCTTGGTCCCAGTTTTATCCATTTCCAAGAGATTCATTCTACATTTACCATTACTGGACTAGCTTCAAGCCCACAGGATTCTTTGCAGAGGAGCAAGCAGGAGAAGACGTTTTCTCTGGCTGAGATTTGTGCTCAGGCAGAGATGCCATAGGCATGAGAAACCAGGAAAAAACAAAACAAAACAAAAAAAAAACAACCCAAACCCCCTAGTATCTAGATGGGTGCTCAGTTGCAAGACATAACATTCTCACTTATAAAAGGCAGGAGACACACCTAGAAGAGCTGATTTAGAAATAACAATAATAATACAACTTGTGACCTATACACCCTGCATGAAGGACAAAAGCAGGCTGTATGCTTATGGGAACAGTGGTTCTGAAACCCAGCTATTACTGTTGTTTTTCCAAAACAGAGTCTCCAGAGGAAGATCAACAAGGCAATAGTAATTCTCAGGTTACTAAAGCCGCTCAAGAACAGTGATAAATTAAGCTTGGATCTAAGGAAAACTGCTCCTTCACAGAATCATAGAACAGCATATGTTGGAAGAGACCTTGAAGATCAACTAGTTCCAACGCCTCAGACTTCCCAGGGCCCCATCCAACCTGTCTCTGAAAGCCTCCAGGGATGGGGCATCCACAGCTTCTCTGGGCAACCTGCTCCTTAGCATTTCAAAGTCTGGTCCCAGATTGTGCCAGGTGCTCAAGGAGCACAGTTTAGCCCTGTCCCATTCCTCGTGTCTCTTGGTGCTTCTGGGCACCTGTGGCCAAGCAAGGGCAAATCCCTCACCACTAGTCACCTCTGTGTCCCTCACATGGCTGGACACAAGGCTGGCTTCATGTTTCCCATTGGTTTTGAGGAATGGCAAGGCCTGGAAGGACTGCCCAAACCTTCGAAGTCAGGCTTACATAGATGACTTCTCTGAAGACATTTGAAGGAGGTTTGTTGTCTGCAACTTTATCATGCAGTCAGAGGGCAAATGTGCTCAATTCATATGAGATCTCACTTAGTTTCCCAAGAGCAGAAAGATGATCTCTCCTCTGAGAAAAAGGAAATCCTGCTACGACATCAGTCTAGTAGAAATCTTGGGGTTAATCCTGTCATTCGGGTTCTCCAATGCTGTTCACATCCACATTCTTGTTACTGCAGGTGATGCAAATAGTGGCTGCTTTCAGAGATTAGATCAAGTGATGGCTTGGATTTTGAATGCAGCTTCATTGAAGAGGAATGCCCAATTATCCCTACTGTAAAACTATGTCATTGTCAAGTACTGGTATTTATCATCTCCTGCCTGTACAAGTTTTGTTTCTGTTATAAATTTAACCTAGAGCTTTCAGCACAGTAGCCTTTATAATTAAAATGGCAACATGCCTCATAACTATCTCATTTTTGCTCACCCATCGCTCACTGGGGAAAATACAGTCCCCCCCAAAAGCTGAGTATGGAAATTCTGGGAGATAATACTGCAAGAACGTCATTAAACTTCTTTCTGAGTTACTAGGACAAGGAATGTGCAAAGCACATTTTACTTCTATTAGGAGACATGGGTCTTTTGTAAGGTTGTTTGGTGTGGTTTGGATTTGGAAGCCCCAGTCATGCCAATGATTTGGCAAGGCTAAGCCTGTGCTTTGGTCCTTCTGGAGCCTTAGGGATCACCTTAGGGTGCTGGAACAGTTACCAAAGCAGGGTCTGGTTTGGCATAGCCCTTACTGAGCAGTAGGAACAAGCCATCTCCATTCTTTTGCTTGTGAATGCTGTTCAAGGACTTATAGAAGCAAAGCCTCACTGAAATGCACAGGAGTGGCATCAGAGAAATACTTCTTTGGAAAGAAGAACGAGCTTGGAAGACGACATCCAAATTCCCGAAGTTATGATCAATTATGTTTCTCACTGACAAAGAAACCTTTAACTAAACTCCATGTATGTAGCTTTCTGCTGCCTCATGCAGTTGTGCAAATGTGCAATTATGTTCTGCCAATGAGGCTGTGTAGTTATGCACCTCTGAAATTGCCGAAGAGTTCAATTAGCTAACCCCATCATAATACACTTAGCACTGTTTGTTTTGCTTTTATCTGTTCTTTTTAACTGAAAGGGTGGAGGAAATTAAGTAAACATTCCGTTTATTAGCAGTTAATGTCTTCACTTTACAGATCTCAGGAAATGAGAGCTCTGTGATAACTGGCAACATCAATTGCTGATTTACCAGGAATCCCCCGCAGTGCATGACTGCATGAGCCAGCAAAGGCTGAGGGATTGCACAGCTGCCTCCGACTGCCCCCAGCTACACTGGGGCTGTGTTGGGCAGAATGCGTGGAATGCCAGTCATGCCTATGATTTTAGTCAGGTTATTCACCAGTGGCACCTATTTCTCCAGGTAGAAAATCTGCAATGGAAATAATGGTACACAATACATGTTCAGAGTCAATTTCATTTCTCGGACCTAAAGGACTTAGTGCACACCAGTGTATGTTAACTCTGCGGAGTCCAAGACAAACTGCACTTGTAATGTGTGCTGTACAGATAAGTGCAGTAAATCAGTGCTTGCAACGTGTATGACTTACTGAGAAACATGTTAACAGGGCAACACAGGCACAGAGGGTCTACCTTGAGCATGGCCACTGTAAGAGGCCACGCATGTGTACACGTGTGTATAATGACTTTGGAGTCAGTGTGAAGTTGTCTGATGAGAGAAAATGTATCTGACATCTGCAAATTTTGGAAGAAGACCAAATTCCAATTCCCCCCCCATTTGAATAAAAGTTGGCTGAAAAGAGAATGTGCTCATGTAAACCCAGAATTATGGGTCCCTAAATTCAAAGTATTTAACTCTCCTGAAACTGCTTCTATGACGGGGGAGGACATTTTAGTTTTGACTCGGCTGCTCCCATGGAATATGGAGCACTGCATTTGCTGAAGCTCATAAAAAAATATTGAGCAGGCTACGAGTGCTTCTCTCACACCTGTGCTGCTCTCCTCAAATTAACTTGCTGGTGATGGATGTGTAATTGTGTGTGCAGATGTGTATCTGGCGGGATCTATGAAGTGTTTGTTTGGGAACAAAAGGAGCAGCACCCAGCCCACTTGCAGCTGACTTGTCTCTGAAGGGCGAGCTTGGGAAAGCAGCACTAGGAACATGTCTCAGCCTTGACAGTGATGGAGATAGCTGCCCTACCTGCTGTGTATTCAGCAACCTTTGGGGTTTGCAGGCTGTGGCAGTCGGGGGAGATTTTAAGAGATGCCTTTCAGCTTGTCAAGCAAGTATATCTGATGTGGGAATCCCTGATAGACAGGGAGCACACAGCCCTGCTGTGTCCCCAGGGCAGAGATTGCTACAGCTCCCTTCCCTTCAGCCCAAGGCCGCGCTCTCAAATCCTGCCCACCCAACCTGCTCACTACCATTCTCCTCCTTACTCCACTGCTCAGCAGTTCCCCTCAGCTCTGCTTGGCCAGGGTGCCGGAGGTGACAGCCAGCTCTCTTCCCCATGCTCCTCTCCATCACCATGTTCAGCAAAATGGAGAATGGGATGCTTATCAGCCAGTGAGGACATCTTGGAAGGAAGGAGAGAGATACCCCAGGGCTACAAGAAAATATTCTGTAGTGCCTATGGAATTAATCAGTGGTATCAAGACTAATATTGAAATCTAATCCTATTGTTCTTGCCATTGTGCTCATCAAATGAGAATATGCAATCACTCAATGCATGGAATGCTTTCACAGAGCCAGGTCCTATCTGTAGGCTCCCTTTCTGCTTCCCCCTTTTTTTCTTGTAAAATAGATCAGAAATATACTTAATTTATGAGCTGTGACTAGGCGGTAATTCAGTCAATATGTTTCTCAAAGACACAAATGTATAACAGATTCCAGGCATGTCTGCAAAATCCAATTGTTTTTGGTCAAGGAACCATCATTTTTGATTACTATGCTCACTCCAAATTAGATATTCATACTTTTTCATCTTATTACTTTTTATCCTACTGCTCTGTACTGATTTACAGCAGGGGAAAACCTACTCTTGTTTGAAATATCCACTGTCATTGATGAATTCTGCATGAGGCACATGATTAAATGTTATTTAATTTTTTAATGATGTCCATAAGTGTACGTGAGTGGTCTCCAGGCAATATAAATCTCCATGCATCAACACAGAGCAATAAGCAGTTCAGAGACCTGATGTAGAAACCAGTTCAGATAGGCTCGTTCCACATCTATGTGGAACGTAACATCTATGGTTCCTGAAGAATAAAAACAAGATTACTGTGCCTGCAAGAGGAAATCTTTTCTTATATGATTTGTACGACAAACATCACCTGGCAACTTGATTGTAGCCTTGCCTCTCATCTGAGTACATCTGTGCTGATCTCTCCCTTTGTAAAAACATTATGCCTTTTGCCTTGATATTGATCTGCTTCTCAGGGATTAGCATAAAATCGTACAGCCCTCTTAGAGCTTTATCATACCTCCATTGCAAAACTCATACAAGCCCTTTTCTATTATGACAAAAGAGTCTTTATCGCATCCTTAATCTGTCAGCATTCTGTAGGAATGAAAGATGTAGATATAATTACAGAGTTTGAAATTCATGTTCTAGGCTGGTCCAGCTGCCAGGAAAAGGAATATAAAGAGGATAAATCCATGCATCCCACTTGCCTCAGTATTGTCTTGGTAGGGCCAACTGGATCAAAGTAAAATGTCAAACTTTGTGTGTTTTTACAATGACCGTAGAAGAAGCTGCAGAGTCTGTTTCTTGTCTTCATGCACAGAAAGGGCTTTGCTGCTTCTTTTCTCTGCCATCGTGTCCCTTTACTCAAGTCTCCTCCAGCTTGCTGCATCCAGCAGCCATTTCTCTCATCTGGAAAAGACAAAGGCAGTGGGATGGGCTGCTGGGCATATCATTTAACTGCCCCAGTGTAACAACTGTGCTCAGGATGGACATCTGACAGGTCTCACTGCCCTCCTTGTAGTCTTGACTGGAGAATGACCACCTTTGTGTTTGCAGTACTGGGGCTTGATATCTGACACTTCCTGAAGTAAAGGTGATGTTTGATTACAAGTGTCTCATGAAATACAGGCTGGGACACTGCCCCCCCAGGCACGCTTTAGTGGGTGTACATCAGAACACATCAAACCACCAATCTATTTGGCTGGACTTTGATGGATTTACTTCCAGCAAACTGGAGATTGAGTCTTACAGAGGACAGAAACTCAGGTTAAAATCACATACACGATTACATCCCAGATCACGCCATACAGATGGCATGACCCTCCCCTTCTTTAATCAGTGAACGGTTTGCTTTTGCTGTTCACAAGCATCTTTCTCTTTTCAGAGGAAAGAAATTAAAAAAGAAACAAGAGGCTGTTTGCTGCACTGCTGCAAACCAGATCCCACTGCGTACAAACATCCTTTTCTCTGGTCAGGACTCCCGAGACCTTGGGGCTGACATGCTGAGATTGCTTGGTGTCACAGTGGCACTGGTCCTCATCCCGTGACACTTCAGGAGAGGTGAGAAAGCTGTCTGCAGAGCGAGAAACTCCAGATAAAAATAGCAAAGTCCCTCTGATCCCCAGCTTCCAGCAGGCGATAATGCTGACTAACATGCCAGCCTTGCTCTGGTGGGCTCAGCAGAAGCTGGCAGACAGGTGGTTAAATTATAATGTTCAGAAATACCCTGCAAGTGGCTGAGTGAGCAAGAGGAGCTGTGCATGGAAAGATAGAGCCCAGGGAGAGATCACCCCTCCGCAACCTTTTGGGCTTTGTCTCAACATGTCCCACTTTTCCAGCAGAGAAGTCTTTCCATGCAGAGCTTCCTCCGTCGGCCTTGACCACTTTCCCTGATGCAAGGCCATATCAGCAGCAGGTGTTTGGTGCTCAGAGCCCTGCAGGGGCTGTAGTCCTTCCTGGTGGGTGGCTCGAGGCGCCTCCATGTGCAGGTTGTCACCACCAACCTCTGTCCCCAAACTCCCAGTGCCTCTGCTGCCTGGCTCTCACACACCGCACCAGGCGTGCCTGCTCCCTGTTCTGTGTAAGTCCTCTGCCAAAACCTCTGACACAAACAGCACTGGTATGTCACAACATGTCACTTAAACATTCAGTCAGTTCCTCTTCCAATTCAAGCTAGCCGAGGAATAATAAATGACACAAAATGCTGGCTTCCCAACTACTTTAGCTAATCTAGCCCTTTATTTCTGGATCTAATCAGTATTCCAATCTAATATGCACACCATCTTGCATTTCCACATTTTTGTAGCTGTTCCAAGTATCTTGCACTACATATCTGGAAGGCATTCTGATTGCCCTGTGGTAGGATTGTAACAGTCGTCCCAGGGTTGCTGCTGCACCCCATCAGCGACAGGGAGCTCTGGACTGGGGGAGTGCAAAGCAACCTGCTGGTGTCAGAGCTGAATTTTGCCTCTGGGTAGAAAACTGGGGGAAAATAAACACAAAACCAGAACGTAGGCTATATCAGAATGACACACAGGCAGGGAGAGGCTGGGGACAGGATGGCACTGCAGACTGCTGGGGAGCTGCTCATTGCTGCCAGCTTCACTTGCCAGTGCTCCAACTTTGTGTTTTCATTTCCTTCTGTAAACTCACAAGGGGTGAGCAGCTAAAGTACAGTGAAAAACTGGCCTGCAAACACCAGCCTGACTGGCTGTAATGATTGAGAGCACGATGCTGCAAGTTCTCCTCCATCTGCATCCACCTCCAGTGGGCAACCCAGCTATGCTGTGCTGTGCCATGCCAAGCCAAGCTTTGCCATGCTGAGCCATGCTGCAGAGTGTGTGGGCCTGCCTCTGGAGCAAGGAGGGCACAGTTACCTTGCAGCTAGTCCTGCCAAGGAAGAAAAGAGAGGCAAAGGCCTAATCCCTACTCATGTGCACTGAAATCCTGCAGGAAGAGGAGCAGGAGATAGGATGAACATATTCAGTAACTTTGACCAGAGTCACCACAATCCCAGTTGGGAAATACCCTGTGTGCTCTCTGGGGGGATTCATTTCTAAAGGAAAGAGTGGTAAATCACCATGGCTAGAAGCAACCTGCTTGTTCTGCCTAGTGGCAGGGGAACATCCCAGCAAGCACATCTCAGGGGACTGAGTGGAGCCTTCCTTCTGTATGCTCACCAGTTATGTCTGACTCAGATACCAAGCAGAACAAACATATTAACCTTTCTTTAAAGCCTGGAAAGCTTTGTAAAATCTAGTTAGGCATGCAATGAGTGTGCGTTTACACATATGTCTGAGCTGCACATCCGTTGCACTGAGGTGGACAGAGTGCTGCTGAGATATGATGCAGAAAATCCCTGGACACAACTGCAGAACTGAGGTCTTTGCATTCTGAATACTTCTTTTCACTTCCTTTTTCATGCCATTCTGTCAGCTGTCAGTACGTTGCAACAGGAAATGTCTCCAGGCACCACTCGAGCAAAGTTGCCCTTTCCCTCTTGGCAATCTTGGAACTGTGTTGGGGGTACAGCCCTTTATTCCCAGGGGGTCACTGTGCATATTTACCATGAACAATGCAGTATGGGGTGGCACAAAGGATCTGAGGAGATCACTGCTCTCAGACATGACCCTGCCTTGCTGGGCATGTCCCTGGAAACCTACCTGCAGTGCCAAAGACAGGGCTTTGTGCAGAAGAAAATATGACTAGAGCAGCTGAAGAGAGGACAGGCAGAAGCCTCCATCTGCTTAATGTAAGGTTGCATTTAACTTCTTGGCAAGGAAACCCACAGAGAAGAGGAATATTTTTGGAGTCCCATCTTTTCCTCGAAGATTTGAAGTTGATATGGCTACCACCTCTTTCTGTCTTGGAACACAAGTGAGAGAAGGGAGGTATCTGAGATGCAGGTCTAAGTGCTGCAACTCATGCTTATCACCATCCTAGGACGCAGCTAATTTGGACAATAAATTTAGACTTGGTGCAAACCTTCCCTGCATTTCTTTGAATGCAAAACAAAGCCTACTACCCTGGTCAGGGCTGTCCTCCAAGATGAATGTTCAAGGGCTGCTGTGCAGCTGCATTTGTTACTAGATTTGAGGTATGTTCAGATTTCAGAGCAGTTGTAATAGTGCAAAATAGACAATTAATAATGAAAAATGTCTCCATAACCCTTTTCCTCATGTGTTTTCATTTTAGTAATAAGCATTAAAAAAAAAGAAAAAAAAGAAAAAAAAAAAAAGAAAAAACCCAGGTTTTCCTCTATGTCATCTAAAACTATCACACTAACACTTCATTTTAGTTCATCCTTTTTTTCTCCAGGCTGTAGCTACACATTCAGACTACAAATGACAAGAGGCAGGGGCCTCATCCTCATTATATTTGAAAAATGTTTCTAACAGAAAAAGAGTGTTCTTACAGAACAAACACTGTAGTAATTAAGTATTCGCTGAATTTTAGGACTCAGTGTAGATAGAGCGTAGATACATTAGTTGGTCTCCAGAGAAAAAGATAAGCATCAGCCGGCTGTGCAACTTGGCATGCACTGCTGGGAGAAGAAGGTGTTAAAGTGGTTGCAAGGGAGAGCAAGCTGTGAGAGACCAGCACAAGCTCTGCACTTCTGTGAGAGGCCACTGACCCATGGGCAAGGGCAATTTCAGGGCTAGAGAAGTTCACCTGTGGTCTATTAGATATAGCCCTTCCGTTACAGATATCATCATTATTTAACATTACCACCCATTCACTACAGAGCCACGAGAAGACAGCAAAGGGCCCTGCACACAGCCATGGCCTGTAATGTCTTTGGCTTTTGAGACCAGATCTTCCTGCACGTGTCCCTCGAAAGCCACACATACCCTTCTGGTCACGTCAGCATACAGCTGGGGGAGGAAAGGGCAAGGATGTTTTTTTTTGTGGGCAAACAAGAGCCTCAAGGGCTAAGTCACAACACCCTACCATCATTTTTATTTAGCACTCAGCAAATGGAGAGCCATTTATTGTCCATTGAATAGTTTGTAGAGCTCTGCTTTTGCTGAGTTTTACATGGAACTGAGCCAAAAGGAGAAGAAATAATTAACAGTCTGCCCTGTCCATATGTTTAAAATACACTGCAAAATGAAAACAGTCCTGTGGAGAGCTCTTTGCATGAAAGCTTTTTCATCATGCAGAGTTGGAATATTTTCTCTGTTCCTTAGGGGAAGACTTAGGACAATATTTGAGAAACCAGAGTTAATTTTAAGAACCTTTCTTTCAAACTGTTTCAATTCATTATTCAAACACTGTATGTCTGTATAAAAATAGAATTAATTTATAGTGCATTTTGAAATTATTTCAGATGTTCAGAATACTAAGGAAGAACCAAAATGAGTCTGGACTCAGATGGTACAGCCTGGAAAACAGAATGGTTCATGTTTATAGCCAGATTTGGACTGAAACGTTATGGTCTAGACTGATTCATTTAAAATATAGCTGGTATCACCTGATCTATAACTACTTAAAGCAACTTAATGGGTTTGAATTTCTTAGGAAAGAAATGATAGGAGTTAATAATAGGAGTTCTCTGTATGACAGGGGAGGAATTCATGTCAACCCTTATTGTCATGAAATGAAGCATACCCACATGTGTACTGCTTATTCCTGTTTAAACAATTAATTTCAGAAAATCTCCTCAGCAATCAACATAATACATCCTCCACTCCTATCAGCACTTGTTGGCCTCATTATCAAGATCATTGCAATTGCTTTCTGGTGAATCATCAGTGCAAAGCAAACAAGATCCCAGCAGAACCAGTCTAAAAATGATCTGCACCTCATTGAGCAGTTGTGACTGATCATACAACCAGTTCCCAAGGCAAACTCCAGTTGTTGTGACAATGGTCAACCTGTGTCCCCTAGCTTACCCTTAGGGGCCAATTACTCTTGGTCTATCTGCTACCCATCAGCTTTTTGGCAAAGATAGGAAAAGTTTCTTGTAATAAAAGCAAGAATAATAAAGTTGTTTGGCTGGGTTTTTTGTTTTTTGTTGTCATTGTTTGGTTTTTTTTTTTCACATGAAGGATCTGCACAAAAAGCCAAACTTTCTCTCTTGACTATCAGTTGCTTCCCCAAGGCTTTTCTGGCATCAATAATCTGTGAAAGTTAAGTTGGCATTACCAGTTTGGCCTAAGACAGAGTCCAAGGCCAGCCATCCAACAAAGGCCTGTTGATAATCAGAGAAGCCGAGCTCTGAACAACTTGCAGGCTAGTTGGACTCATATTCAGCAGCCCTTTGGACTCATGTTCAAGTCTACTGGCAATGTCAGGTGGAGATTTCACTGGGACAATCCAGCATGCACCAGCAGACTTTTACTCTGATCCTTCATTCATCTGTCACCTTGCAATGCCTATATACTCCAAGCAAAGCCTAGCCATTGGGGTTGGCTGGACAGGGATCAAGTATCGCTAGTGGAATCCCAAAGATTTGCCTGCGCAGGCACTGTTGGGTAAGCACATGGGCTGTCCTTAGGGGGAAGCCACACAAGTGTCAAAGCTTCTCTTCCACTGGCACAGAGGAGATAAATGCTTCTAAATACCTACCACACTCTCCCAGCCCAGTCTCTGCCTCATCTCACTGCCCCAGGGCCTCACTCCCAGCTGCAAATGCCTGAATACAGTGACATAGCACAGATTTCACTATCCTTTTATTTCCCTGGTAACTGGAAGGTCAAAACAAATTGAATTAAAGAACTGTGTGGGGAATTCAGTAATTAAAAGCTTGTGAATTAGTGTAAAAGTTAATCACAAAAATAAATAGTTAACCAGTAATGACACTGCATTAAGGTAAGAACCCTATATGTTACATCATATAACAGCAGCTGAGGGAGCTGAAGCCACTGAGAAACCATAAGTCAGTATTAGAATCCAGGAGAAAATCCATATTGCTGTGCTCTAGCTCTGGAGCAGTGAGGGAGCTGAGTTGCAGCCACAGGTGATATCCTGACATCCTCCTTAACTTGCATTGAACCATCGAATCATAGAATGGCTTGGGTTGGAAGGGACTTCAAGGATCATCAAGTTCCACCCCCCTTGCCACAGGCAGGATTGCCAGTCACTAGATCAAGCACTAAATTAAATTGCCCAGGGCCCCCTGCAACCTGGCCTTAAACACCTCCAGGGATGGGGCATCGGCAGTCTCTCTCGACAACCTGTTCCTGCACCTCACCACTCTCTCAGTAAAAAACTTCTCCCTGACATCTAATCTAAATCTTCCCCCCTTTAGGTTAAAACTATTCACCCTTTTCCCTATCTACCCCTGTAAAAAGTTGATTTCCCTCATGTTTATAAACTCCCTTTAAATACTGGGAGGCTGCAATGTTGTCTCCCTGACGCCTTCTATTTTCCAGGCTGAACAAGTCCAGTTCCTTCAGTCTATCTTTGTAATATAGGTATCATCTGAGCATGATGTGTGTTCCTTGGGTGCCATCTGACATCATAAGGCAGTGACCTGAGGCATAGGGGGCAGGTGAAACAGTGGAACAAGAGGTTGGAAGTCTGTCCTGCAACAACCACTCTGCTATAAGTAAAGCTGTTTATACATTCAGGAACCAGAATGCTGAATGTCACTCTTCACACACAAAAGAAAAAGGAGGTGGTGGGGAACTAGGAATACTCACTGTCAATTCAGTAATGTCATCTAAATCATCCTGTCTTGATCTCATCCAGAGGAGAAAAGCTGGCAGGCATCTCTTGACAGCTGAGTGGGAAGGTCCTGCAGAACAAGTTGCACCTCTTCTTCCTTCCCATGAAGAGCAGGGTCAAGTAGAGAAGAACTCTTTGGGCATCCCAAGTATTTTCCCAGCAGCCCTACTGCTTCTGAAGGCAAAAAGCAATCATGTCTTTAAGTTTCAGACCTAGTGACACAAAAAAAAAAAAAAAAAAATAGAGCTAGATGAGAGCACTGAGGGTCATACGGTCATAGAATGGCCCAGATTGGAAGGGACCTTTAAAATCATGTAGTTCCAGCCTCCCTGATGTGGGTAAGGTTGCTACCCACTAGATCAGGCTGCCCAGGATCCCATCAAGCCTGGCCTTGAACACCTCCAGGGATGGGGCATCCTCAGCCTTTCTGTGCAACCTATTTCTGTGCCTCACCATACTCGAAGTGAAGAATTTCTTCTTAACATCTATCCAAAACATCCTTTCTTTCAGTTTAATCTCTTTGCCCTTGTCCAATCATTCTCTACCTGCATAAAAAGTTGGTCCCCCTCTGCTTGTAAGCTCATTTCAAGTATTGGAAGATCACAACAAGGGCTCCCTGGAGCCTTCTATTCTTCAAACTAAACAATCCCAACTCCTTCAGCCTTTCATCATAAGAGAGCTGCTCCAGCCCTCTGATCGTAGCCCTCCTCTGGACCCACTCCAACAGTTCCACATCCTTCTTGTATCGGAGGCCCCAGGCCTGGGTGCAATACTCCAGATGGAGCCTCACAAGGGCAGAGCAGAGGGGTACAATCACCTGCCTTTCCCTGCTGGCCACCTTTCTTGTGATGCAGCCCAGGATACTGCTGGCCTTCTGGGCTACAAGAGCACACTGCTGGCTCATGTCCAGAATTTTGTCCATCAGGACCCCCAAGGATCACACCAGTGCAGCCAAGCAGAAGCATCTGTCCAAAGAGCCCTCTGCAGACTCAAAGCCACTGTATGAAGTGAGTGTAGCCTGGATGAGAACAGTTGGCAGGCTGCAGGTAGCTGCCAGTAAATGTTTGACGGGTCTGGAAGTGTTCCACAGCCTAAACAAGCAGTGCTTAGGCTTTAAACAAAATCAGAATGTCTCTATGTGGGTAATTCTCTGCATCTAGCATTCACTTTTGAGCGTTAGTCACGGAAGGATTTTCAGTGACGGAGAAATCAGCCTCAAAGTAAGCAAGGAAAAGATATACAAGCAAGATATTAAAGTTACACCAACCTTCTTTAAAAAAGGAAATGCTCCATTCTGAAGCAGCTGGAAGAACAGTTATGCTGTACGTAAACCATAGGCCTCAAAGCTAGAAGAGGTACCTCCATTATGTTCTGAAGTACCTTCCTCAGGGGAAAGCAGATGTCAACAATTATTTGCCATACAACTGACAAAGTGAAAAAAGAAACCTTAGCTGTTGCCAAAACTCTTCATATTTTCTTTCTGCTAGATCAGTCTGATCCTGCTGGGGTGACTGGGTTGAAACGGTACTGTCCTTTACACAGCCATATTTCTGTAGCCCTTGGTTGCTGAATTTTCTACTGGTCCTTCAGAGCACCCAATCTAAAAGGGTAGAAGGATGCCTTGTCCAACCTTGGCTAATTTGAATTTATTATACTCAGTACTGTCCTTCGCCACTGCATAGCTGGGGGGAAGGGAAGAGAGATGAGCCTTCAGCTGGGGGATTTCAGTAACCTTGGTGTTTAAACACATAGACAATGCACAGCAAGTGTCTGCTTTGCCTGTAATGCACTTTTTCCCATAACTCTAAATGAACTCATTTTCTTAAAACTGAGATCTTTCAAATTCCAGCTGTTTTTTTAGATATAAACTCAACATTACGAATCATGTCACATCACATCTTAATCTAGCAGGTTATAAAAATAGAAACCATCAACAGCTGAATGTTTTCTGGGTGCTTAAACAGCTACATTTCCTGAGCCCAAATAGTAGCTATGTTATTAATAAGTAGAGCAATACAGTCCAAACATTGCCAAACCCACATCAGCTCAGATACACTAGTAAGCTTTGGAATGAAATAACACAGGTTACTTATCTACTTTTTGCAGTAAATGAGATTTTAAAAGCGAGGAATGCATCTTCTAGTAATATGAAGTTAAAAAATGTTAAGAAAGAGTTGATTAGTAGGAGAACTAAGTTTTCTGATGTTGTTTTGTTTACAACAGTAAACTCCACCCTAAAAATGGTACAATTTACTCTATAACCTTCATATTGTCAGGTCTCAGAGTGACTTGACATATGAACAGGCTGATACTTATAATACAGGCTGCATTAAAATTACTGTCCATTGGATAGGAAAAGCCAGTAAGCTTTCCATGCTGGAACTCGATTATTTTCCACTGGTTCGAAAATCTTCTGAGCTTACAGATACAGGAGTTCTGATCACTAAACTAGACTCTTATTTGAACCATTAAATCACAGCACAGCCCCCAGTTCAGTAAATGCTTAAGCACCAAATCTGAGCTTCAGTGCCAAATAAACAAGTGTATCATACTGTTTTGCCATTTAGGCTGCTATACAAACTGAAATAAAGCACGTCTAGCTTAATGTGTACATTAAACATTCTGTGTAAGCATACAAAATTACAATCTTAGTGTTCTGTAATGAAATCATGCCGCTAGCAATAAGCTCAGCATAAATCTTCCTGCTTTCTCAATGAGAGAGTGACAGATTCTCTGAAATCTGCTCTACAAAAACAATAAAATTGTGAGGTGGGAGAAAAAGCAAACCTAGGCGGCCAGTCCTCAGTAGAAAAACATTTTCATGCTTCTAGAAGTTAGGTTTCTATATATGTTCCCATCATGAGACTCTTCCCTGTAACTTTCCTTCTTTCAACACATTCCTCTAGCTGTTGAATAGCAGATCCTGCAATACTTTGCATCATTGCAAGTTATGACTTCATTGCCACCATTTGATATGTATAGATTCATGGCTTTTTGCTGACTTCTTGGAGTTTTCATTCAAGATACCAATTTCTCATGCAGGAAAATCAGAAAACTAAATAGCATTTAGAATGCCCAAAACATATGATCTTGGCTTTCTTTCATAAACCAGAAGATGGATGGTCTGTAGTATTTACAAATGATGTACATCAAGAAACCCACAAGGGACTTGTGTTGCTCCTCTAAAAACACATGCTCAAGTGCCTTGGTGATGTCTGCTTCTTGCAAAAAAAAAGAAAAAGAAAAAAAAAGAAAAAAAGCAACGAAAGCCCAATCAACCAAAACCCCTCTCTTTTCAACCCATCATCACATCCATGGCTTTCATTAATGATTATCAGACCTAACTAGTCAGTGCCTATGCCCATCCCTGTCACATGGATCAAACCCAGAACTGAGGACAGAGCAGAGTCTTCATCCACCTTTTGGGCACTGCTTCCCTGTGAGCAGAAACGAGCACTGCTCTCACAACAAGGTGCACAGCACCACAGCCTTTCCAAATAGACACACAAAAATTGGCTAAGGATAGATGGGTTTTCAGAGCCTAGAAGGCAGCAAGTTGAGCCTCATCTCTTCTGGTTCTGTCTGGAAGGCCCTGTGTTGGCACCAGTGCTAATCCACAAAGAGGTAGGAAGAGTCTCAGCCAGGATAGGACTCAAACCTGTGCTTACCCAAGCATTTAGACATGCTCAGAGAGGCATGGGTAAGTGCTCTCATGTCCCCTTGTCTTCCACTTTAGCTTTATCAACCTTCATTTAACATGAAAGAACTCAGAGGGAGCACAGTGTTTCATGAAGCCTGCTTGCACCTTGTGCTTCAGTAGCCCCAAGCAAGCTTCTCTTTCAACTTCTTTCCCTCAGCTGTTGCAGGCAGCTGAGCCCTGTGAGCTGTCAAGGCCTCCAAGCATTGTCTCCTTCTGACTCCAGGGAGTAGAAGGCCCCCAGCTTGTGCCGGTAGACTCTTGATCTTTGATGCCTATTGGCAAGGATGGCTGGGGAGCCACCAAGCTCACTGTGTGTCCCTGCTGGGCATGCAGCCTCTCCCTGGGGTTAAAGAGTCCATGTGTTCTCTCATCTATTGTTGGTTTAAAAAACAAAGCCAGGGAAGTGGTGTTTTAGTTAGGAGGGATGATATCCTAAGGAAGCATGCATTAAGTAATAGGCCGTTATTGCTTTTGCATTAAGGCTGAGAAGTAGGAGGAATGAGGCAGGTAGAAAGGCTGGAAAAGCAGACCTAGAACAATGTGGAGTGGACAAACCTGATCTGCTGTGCTAGACACCAATAACAAGGATGCATCTCTTTCATTTGCAGGCTCTGTGCTTTTCTGATTAGCACAGTCACAGGTGAACAGTTGGTGGGGAAGCCTGACATAAAGCTAAAAGCAACAAAGAGTTAAAGCTGCTGGCTGATTGCAGGATTGCTTAGAACCTCATTAGTTTAATTTTGTCTGGAGTTCAGTTCTTAGTTCGGAGCTTAGAGCTTTTGGAAAACCTATTCCTCATTTTAGGTCAGAAACATGCTATTCTCATGATATTATTGAGTATATGTGGAGCATATTATTCAGCCCATGGCTCCTCCCATAATTTCTGTTTTTTCTAGTCTTGCATGCAACTCTCTGTCTGTGGAATATCAATGATGCAATAGCCCTAAGGAGAAAACCTTAATTTAAAAAACAAAAACACAGAGGTAGTTTCACAGAGATCTTTAACTGTGTCTTTCTGCCGATGGCTAACTGAAGCAAGTGAAATGAAGTGCTGCATTGCTGAGCTACACTCAGATAACACTACACCAAAGAAATGTTGCATTCAGTTAAAAAGAAGAAAAAGAGCAAGTCTGGGGCACTAGAAAACATTTGCCACTGCAGATAGAATGTGTCCCAGCTAATCTAGTCAAAAGAAAAAGAGAATAATTGAGCTGTCATTTTGGCACTCAAAGGCTCCCCATTTATTTTAACCTGAATTGTATCTAAGTTGAATTTTTGAAAGCAAAGAGATTAACTTCAACTTCCTCTATTTTTTTTTTCATTCAGTTGTGAACCCAAGGCTATGGTATTCAGCTACCTAGGAAGCAAAGAAAGTCACTGTTAGATGTGACCTGCAGCCACTACAATCCAATGAAGTAACATCCGTGACTTGATGCAGGCCTCTGGAGAGCATATTTTATCTCTAGGAGAGGTGCTTTGTGTTTTTCACTCCACACCCCCAGCGCTACTCAGTCAAATAAGAGTTGTTGAAGCCTACCTGAGCATATCCAAGGGACTGAGTGCTTAGAGTTATCCAAGGACCTACAGCAGATCCCAGTGGCTGTAGAACAACAAAGTCAGTGGTACTTCAAGCTACTTCCCCCTTGGGCCACATATCTCCAGCCTGGAAAGACTAGATTCAGGGATAGAGCATAAGCAGTTCTCTGTTTTCAGGGCCCCTTCCCTTCTTCCTTAAATCCAGAATGCATGCTTACAAGGTGGGTCAGCACCTGCATGCTCTCCTCACCTGCTGTGACTCAGCAGGAGGCTGAGGTATTGCCTGCTTGGGAAGTGTGCCAAGAGCAGCAACAAGCTTTTCGAGCTCTCTCCATCAGTGCCAGAAGAACACAGCCGTATTTCAGACCATACTGGTTTACACATCTTGTCTCTCTCTGACCCCCACAACACACCATCTCGTAAACTGCCTTTATCCTTGCTACAATCCCATTAAGTAGCGAAAAAAAGGGGGAACAGGAGATTAATCCAAGTTGGTTAATACAAGGGGACTGAATTTGCACCTAGCAACCTTGGTTTCAGGCAAAAAGGATGCATAATTGATTTTACTGCTTCCTCTTCTGTCTGTCTTTCTATCATCTATCCCATCCCCAACAACATTTTAGCTTACTGTATCATTTTAAACACCACTGAAGGCAGTAACGATCTCAAAGGTGTTCCTAAAACAATCATAAGGATAAGCAGCTGGGAAGAGATGGGACAAAACAAAGCTCTGTTGGTTCTGCTGGTTACAGAATGGCTTGAAATACTGTAAATGTGTTTAATTCCTTAGTGCCTCTGCCCTAGAGATTTGCATTTAAAAGAGGAAGGGGAGCTTGTGGATTCAAACATGTAGTCAGGTTCCCCTTAATTTATTATTCTAAATATGAAATTAGGTAAGAACACAGAGATACAGGCACAGAAACAACTAAGGTTTAAATATGAAAGCTAGAGAATTTGGTTGCTTCTTAAAATGCATCACTGGAAAACCTGGGTTTTATTCAAAAGAGAAGCAGGGAATTGTATCCAAGGAAGCCTTTAAGTGGCTCCCTGACACATGGGATTAACATGAAGAGTTATCACACAATGCTCTGCAGTTCAGTGCACAGAGATTAATTGCTGATGGCCAGATGGGAGCAGTAGGGGTAAATACTGCCTTTTGTTGAGAGAGAGAGTGAGGGCTGAGCATGCAAAGCTGCAGTGACCAGGAGGAGACTGTGAGTGCTCCTGGGGATTTGGCCTTGACAGGGCAGATGCAGGTGGGTCCTAGAGAGACCTGCCTGGGGATGAACCACTCATACGCTCTGTGAGGAGGCAGCACGTGAGTCCTCCATCTTCTGTTGAAGCATGGGGAGCAATAGCTAAGTCCCTGCCACCCCTGGTGCCATGAGGCCCAGCAGCACCTCTCTGCACCATGAGGCTGGACAACATCCCTGCATTTCTTTAGGGATTCTGAGGGGAAGGCTGCAATTCCCTCTCTCTTTCTGGGGCAGACAATGTCACACTACATTACATGTCACTGTGCCATGTTTAAACAGGAAAGCTTTTTTGTGAGAAAAGGCCCCTCTGTGTTCATATGCATCTAGAAACCATTGCTCACTAATTTGTTGAATATGTCTAAAATATCTGCTTCCATGGATCCTGTTTTTCAAATATCACCATCTAGTGCAACATCTGATTCTGATCTTTAAAACCAAATTGGGAAATAGCTATTAACAGCATTCATCTATGAAATTGTGAATTGGTGTGACACAAAGAATTTAGAGATGTTTTCCACTGTAATTTCACCATTTGAAATGATTTACCACCACAAAAAGTATTTGGACTCTAGTCCAAGACATGCAGTATCATTTTTCTTCTATGGTACTACCTTGCCAGTTGATTGAGAAAACTAAAGTTATTTAGCACAAATAGTATTCTCTTGTTTATTGGCATTTCAAGAAGGATACATCAAGGCACAGTGCTTTGGAGCAGTCACAATGTTGGGCAGTGCTTGGTATAGACCTTGAAAATAAATGGAGAAGGAATAGCTGACTTTCTGGAACAAGCAGGAATTGTCAATGGTACTGACATTTGTACTTCACCTAATCTAAGGCACTGTTGATCTTAAGCCTGTACAACACCCAACTGAAATAGGCACATTATCCCTCTCTCAGGCATCACAAGTCTCATTTTCTCAGATAATGCCAAACAGGAGAAGCTATACCCCAGTGAGGAATGTCACTGCATTCCCAGCTTCATGTTTTTATGATAAATGTGTTTATCAGTCTTTTCACCAATGAAAACCAGCACTCATTTTTCTGGGGAATAGGACACGGTTTATATTCATCAAACTAATAGACAAACCTCCAAAACACTAGTTCCTCTAGATATGCCTAGACTAGTGTCCACCTTTAATTAAACCAAGATCTTTAATTCAAAACAGATGTACTTTGTTGTAAACTATGCCACAGTTGCTAACCCACTGAGGCTGGAGGGACCTGTCTGACTTTTTGGCTTGGCTAAAGCATGCAAGTTCCTATAGCCAGAGTCACCCAGAAGACCGAGGCTTCTGGTACTGCGTCTGTCTGCCTTTGACTGCAAAGATCAGAAACACTAGCTGTTACTGACAGGGAATGTCTTTAGAGAGGCTTGAGTGAGGCATGAACTTTTACTCCCAGGTTCATGATACCTTAGCAGCTGTACTTTGACTGCAAATTAAACTTTCCAAAGTGATGCAGCAGGAACAATGCAACCCAGACTCCAGGAAGCTGCAAATACTCAGAAGAATGAAGAGGTCCATTTGTCTCAGAGAAAGTTGGAATGTAGACACAAAGAACTATTAGGGTTCTATTAGCTTAGGGTTCTATCACTGTTACTTAGATAATGGCAACCAAAGCCTGCTAAAAAGAATGGATTTAAGCTGTTAGTCCACATTTTTAGCATGATAGAATGCGTGAAGTAGGATCTAATTCATGAAAGAAGCAATATCCACTAAGAACAACATCAAGAACCCAAAAGACACGTAAGTTCTGCTCACGTGAATTGAGCCTGACCCTGATGGACTGAGCAAATGTCATAAAAAGTTCTAAATGACACCTGGTCTGGAATTATCCATTCTGACCAATGAAAACTAAGATGGTTTTGTAATAGTTGCTCAGAATTGTGGAAGTCCCATTAGCAAAACCAAGCTTAGATAGGCTGCCTGCTAGTTCATCGGGCAGGTTAATGGAGAAGCTGTGCTTCGGGAGTACTTGTTTGCCCAGTGAACCCACCACAGAAATGACTGACTCAGGATTGCCAGGCTCACAGCTGCATTTTAGGGAGCCTGTAAACTTGCAGAGCCAGCTCAGGTCAGAGGTTTCAGCGTTTCAAGTTCCCAGGCATGCAGGAACTGGGCAAAAGTGGTTGTTCAGGTTTTTGAATTAAAAAAAAAAAAAAAAAAAAAAGACAACATGCAAAATTCAGTCCGGGACAAACATTTATTTCATGCTGGAAAATCTGAAATTCCAGAGCTTACTTTCTGTGGGAAACTGTGGAGTTTACTGCCCTGCATCCAGATTTAGAAATGTTGGAGTTTTCCTTGAACAGAATTTTCACAAGTTCTAATTTATCACTCTTGCTCTGAGAGAAGCCAAGTTCCTGAGGCACAGCAGATAATATTATTGCAATTATCTGCATGACCTTCTGCCACTGATATCTCATGTTGCTGTGTGGTTTGTGGTGGGGGGGAAAGAGAGCTATGTTCTGGGCAAACTCTGATTTTCATCCGTCCTTTTTTTCCGACTTCCTGCACAATCTTAGCAAGATAAATTTCACAGAAATCCAAGCTCACACTGCTTTGGAAGCTTACTATAGAGCACGTAAGGAACGAAGAAACTGAATGTAAGCAGCTGGTGGGTCTATTCTCTATCATTTTGCTTTTGGCTGTTGAATTTTTGCAGAGGCAAGTGTCACATTGCTTCCAATATACACCTCTGATTTCCGTTCCGTACTTAAGTGTATTCCCAGTCATCAGGGAAAGAAATAAATCTTATTGTATATATTAGCATATGCCTCCCTTTTCTGTATCTAGATCTTTACTGTTGTAATGAAACTTATGTGGAGGACACATATTAGAATTTAAATTGTGAAGGAAGAGACAGAAAGATGGTTAAATATATATATTTTTTTCCTTGCCAAATAATTCATGTGCTCACTCTCACATAATACGATAGTATTATATGTATTATATATTATTATAGTATTATATCCATCAGAATGTATAGCTATCATTACATAAGCTTACCATAAAAATCACGTTGTAACAAAATATTTTGTTATCTTTTACTGCATTAAAAAGATCTAAGAGACAAGTAGTCCGAAGCAACAAAATAGCTAACGTCAATTTAAACCAGATTAAAGGTGTCTATGTTTGAAGCTGAATGAGTATTTGAGGTGCCCTATTACTGCTTGTCCACAATTTACTTTCCAAAGAAAGAATCCTGTAGGAAGACTAGCTAGCTATTCATTAGGCCTCCAAACACTCTCTAGCTCCATTTTGAAGTCTAAATTTAGATGATGGAAGGGCTATTCCAGGCAATTCAGCTAAAGCTAGCACAAACACTAACTGTTTTGGGTAATAGTTTCCAGGAAAGCTGTTGACCTAGTACATACATTTGAAGTTCAGTCACAGGTATAGGAGAGATTTAAGTTCTTTTTATTAAAAAGAAAAGGAAGGAAGGAAGGAAGGAAGGAAGGAAGGAAGGAAGGAAGGAAGGAAGGAAGGAAGGAAGGAAGGAAGGAAGGAAGGAAGGAAGGAAGGAAGGAAGGAAGGAAGGAAGGAAGATGTCTCATTGCATTCCCCAGCTTGTCAAATACGAACAGGTTTGGCCCTTATTATTGTTTTATACCTTTGGGAAAGAGGCTATGTCTTGCTGCCTTTTATTTTAAAGGGCTGAAAAGGAACAAGCAAAAATGAGGTAGGTGACAGTCTGTGATAGGACCACCGATCCCTATTTCTTGTGAGCTAACCAATAGCAGACTCTGGTGTGCTGAGCAGAAGGGGCAGCTATGGAAGCCTATTGCAAAGATTAGAGACATGAAACTCAAATGCTTGAGTGTCACCTGAGTGTCTAAGTCATTGCGCAGTGTGATATGTTGAAAGAGACAAAGGATGAAGAGAGAGGGCCTTCT